AGGATAGGATACTCTTTACACTTCAGACAGGCTGTAAACTGGTTTTACATAAAATCTTTGGCTCTCCTTTCAACTACGGCCGGTAGACAACAGCAGACGGTCGGTTAGTTGGAGTTCTGTCCCCTGGCTGCAGTGCAATTACGGACTGGAGAAGGCACGAATCAGAAAACACAGTGAGGTCGACATGCCTGGCAGACCCCGCGCTGCGACTCAAATTAGCGACCGTGTTCCAATTATCGCTTCTTGCTACGCATTACGGAGTGGAAATAGAGGGAACAAAACAAGTGACATAATTACTGTGTGTTGGCGATAGACAGCGTGCAGTGCCCTACTGTCATCATACAGTTAGGGTTTGGGTTGCTACTGTGAGTTTGTGCGAAGACGAGATGCGGCGACACTAACCGTAACCGTATGAGTGCAGTGCACGCTGTCTATCGCCAACACACATATATTATGTCATTTGTTTCGTTCCCTCCTTTCCAGTCCGTAATTGCACTACAGCAAGGGGACAGAACTCCGACTAACTGGTTGTCTACTGTTGTCTACCGACCGTAGTTAAAAGGAGAGCCAAATCTTTTTTATGATCCTGTCAAATACTGTTGCCAAAGATAAGCGGCTGGAATAGGTTTTAAACAAGCTGGTGACCCCAGAAATTAAGTGACCAGAAACTACAAAGCGGAAAGGCCTCTGGCACTGGTCAGTCCACATAAAAAAATCTAGGAAAAAGGATGTCCATCGGTATGCTCTATTAACCTGACATATTGTTGATTGATTGTTTATACTAGACAATAACTTAAGTTTAAGTGTCAGTCAAATGAGAATCCTACTAGATTTACATAGACAAAAGAACCAAAATAGATAACAAGATTAAGATGTTCACTTCTAATATATCTGACTTTATTATAGGCTAATCAGGTGAAGTACTTAAACTATTTGCCTCATGATCTGAAGGTTGGGGGTTCGATTAAGTGCTCCATCCTTATGAGTGCAGATTTTCTTTAGATCACCGGGCGTGATTGCTTGAGCTATGGAGTTTGTGCTTTGTTTGTTACTTTCATGAGTGACCTTCTGCAGAAAGAGACCCACACAGTAAAGGCAATCTTTTTGTCCTTTAATGCCCTTGACTGAAAATTGATTATACAAGTCTGCATTTAATTAATTACATGAACTAAATAAAGGATTGATTTTTCAAGGTGAAAAAAAAAATATTTTATAGTTTAAAAAAAAAACTAAAGTTCTTCCTGCTATCCATTCATTTACTGTATACTTCTTTTGCTGCCTTAATTGATTTCAGATAAAATATTTTTATATTTTTAAATGCTGCGTGTGCAGTGAAGAAATGTTGAACATTAGTGTTTGTTTGGTCTGGTTTGTTGTGATGTTATTAGCTTCACTGTTTTATGTTCAGTCAGTAATGTTGTTTACTGAAATGTAATAAATGTTTGTTTTTTGTTTATTTTCATTAGGATATTACATACCTGTGTTGCTGGTTGGTTGGGTATTCGTCACATAAAGATACCGGAACCAGTGCAGTGATAAACCCCCCCTAGTTGCTTCACTGAAGGGTATATTTTATCTTTTCCTTGTTTCATCATTGAGCTTCCTGGTTGCCCAGTCTAAAATAAAATGTGTGGGAGGAGTTTTTTGTTAAGTAAAGATGGGTAGCTTGATATTGATCACAACATCCATGGAAATGCTGATCAATTTATGAAAATAGGAAAATAATACATCTCAAGGTGTGGAAAAGGGTCCTTTTCATTTGAACATTTATAACCTATGTCATGTTAAAACTTATCTAAAATGGTACTTTTTTTAGACATTTTTTGAGAGCTGCAGAAATTGAGTTTTATAGACGAAAAATGAGAACACAGATAAAAAGAATAATGAAGATGTCCTGACAGAAAGTGTCTCACAAAGACAACTGACTATCTACACCAAAAGGAGACAATCTACTTACTTTGGTCATGTCTTGAGAAAACTGGAGTGCATTGCAATGGTAAGAAAGTAGGAGACCTAGAAAGAAGATGCTGGATGGTTAAATATCATGGCATGAAAGATCATCTGTGTCAGAACTGATTGAAAGTACACTAGATAGAAGAATGTAGACATGACTACCAACCCTACACGGTATGGACTATAGGAATTAGAAAATGGTAGCTGCAACATCTAGAAAAAGACACCACCAATATTTATGTACTAGTTTTTTTTTTTTTTTTGGATTTTTTTTTTAAAAAGCATTGTTTGGTGATGAGGGCTGTTTATCCTGGAGACTTAATTGATGTTGTGTTTTTGTAAAGCTAACCCTTTCTACTTGTTTGTTTTTATTGAATTGTTCATTGTAGTTTTACAACTTTACTGCAGACAAACTTTGGGCAGATAAATATCCTTATTCCAGTTTATGTACAGATTCTGCAAAAAATGTATGCACATTTAATAACCATCATAATACTAAATTAATGTGGCTGTGTGATTTGGGTCACAGGCATGAGGGAAAGTTTAGCCTTATGTAATTTGTATAAGGAGTTAATAATACCTCACCTCCGACGTCAGCTTGCTATGCTGGTTTTATGGATCCTCATACAAGGTTGAGGTCACACTTCCCAGTCGTACACCATGGTTAATGGACTACCAAAGTCAGAAGCCATGATTACACCCTAATGGCTAAAGTGATATATTTGTTGAGGAAGTGCATTGAGTCCATATGCATTATGTAACTATGGGGGGGGGGGACTCCAATATATTTTGTTTAAAATGTATTTAAAGGCAAGATGATTGACCACATTGCACTCATAACTAGGGCTGCACCGAATATTCGCTTCGGGGCCGAATAGTGGACCTATTGACTATTCGGTATTCGGCCGAATAGTTGTGGTTGGGCCGAATACGAATAGTAGTTACCGCAAAAGGGAATGATTGGTTTTGTTGAAAGCTTTCATGCATGAACTAAGCTGTCATATAAGTACATATAAGTACTTGGGTGCAAACTTCAACTGCTGAGAGAAAAAATAACAATCTAGAATACAATCTAGAAATAAAGTATACTATGCCCTTTAACATCTGCTAAAGTCAAAGTGCCTGTCTCGCTGTTCAAAATATATAAAACGTTGATAAGACCAGTCGTTTTATATGGCTCTGAAACTTGGAGCACAACTAAGGGAGATGAGCCTTATTACAGTTTTTCAAAAACAGTCTTACGACAAATCTTTGGACCCATCAAAGATGTTAACAGGAAGGAATGGAGAGTGAGAGGCAGCAACGTAACACATAATCTGTTTAAATCACCATTGATCACTGGTATCATGAGAGCTAACAGACTAAAATGGTTGGGGCAAATTGAAAGAATGACAGAAGACAGGGAAGTAAAACTGTATACACCTAAGAGAGTAATGGGCGTAGACCACGAGGAAGACAAAAAAGAAGATCGAGAGATAATGTCCAGTCAGACCTGCAAACAACTGGTGTCACTAATTGTGAAGAGAAGGCCAGTCAGAGAGATAAATGGAAACAAGTGATATCAGCAGCAGTAAACCTCGAGGGCTTAGAACACTAAAGAAGAAGATGACTATTCTGCGCTACTTTATGTGAAGTAAAAGTTCAGCTTACATTTGACATTATGAATGCGTGTGTGTGTGTTTTTTTTTAAAAGATATATTTTATACATAATACACTATTCGTATTCAGCCAAATGGTTGGTCTCGTTATTCGGATTTGGCCAAATAGTGAAAATCACTATTCGGTACAGCTCTACCCATAACCCCACCAGATGTTGACAAACAGGGGATCTGCTCTTTGCCGACGATCATTGCATATTCCATAGTGAACGTAAACAACTGCAGGACCACATAAACCAAATACATGATAGTTGTTAAACATCACATGAAGATCAATATTGAAAAACAGAAGTCACGAGAATAAGTAGAGAGAAACAAACCATCGACATAAAGATCAAAGTCTGAAACAAGTGCAAGAATTTAAATACTTGGGAAGCATCTTTACATACAGAGGTAAAATAGACAGATATAGAAACGAAAATACAACAAGCCAACAGTGTCATGTACCGTCTCCAATTTTAAAACACCCTTCTATCCCATAAAGACAAATTATAAATACAATATTTATACAGACTTTAGGTTACCAGTGTCAGGCTTGAACATTGACAGAAGTATATGAGAGAAAACTTACCACCTGTGAGATGAGATGTTTGAGAATGCGTATGAATAAAACCAGAAGAGATTGAATGAGAAACGACGTGATCACGAGAACTGTTGGAACAACACCCATCATGAAGTTTATTGAGAATCAAAGAATCAAATGGTTAGGCCATATAATGAGATTGAAACTCACAATGCCAGAAGCCAGAGCGTACAACCTGAACATCGAAACATCAAGAGGCAGAGAAGTATATAGATTTAAGGAGTCACTGACGCCTTGAGACTGCATAACAGCAATGCATATCAAGCGACTGAGCGCGCCCTGGCTCGGCTGTCGATTCTCTAATGAACTAGTGGAATATGCAAATATTGACAAAAGAATTATAATATTATAAATATAATAAATATTTATAACCTATTTTTACCTTGGCTGTTAGACTTTACCACATTAATTTTGTTTTGTGAATAGTTTTTGTTGATTTAAAACCTTTTTTATTTAAAGAAAAATCGAGTATCAGTAAAATGCCGATACTTTATTTAACGCACCTTACAATTATTTTGTTTTTAAAGAATTTGTTCAAGTCTTTTGTGTTAGCAGAGAAATGGAGATTAGTTCTCTGCTCCAAAGCATGATGGCCTTGCAGTTGATTCATTGCCTTGCTAACATTTTTGAGAAATTAAGTCTTCTTTTGGTCTAAAATTTGGAGATAGAATATTCTTTTTGAAAAAGAATAAATAATTTTAATTTGTTCAAAAATTACAGGAATTGTGGAATTTTTAAAAGGGTCAACAGAGTTTAAAAAACAAAAAGGTGTCCTAATGTTTTGTAAACATTTCTATTTCTCAGATATGTCAGAAGGCAATGGTCGTGGAAGAGCTGACATTGATAGTGGCAACCAGAGTGTTTCAGTGGTCCATGTGAACATCCCTAATTCAGCCATACAGGTTCAACCTGTCATTCAGGCTAATCACCCATCTGTAATACAAAACGCTGGCAATTTTCAGACAATACAGATAGTCAGGGTAAAGATTTTTCTGACGTTTATAATTAAATATTCAATATTTTGTGAGTCCTCATGGCGTAGGGATTAGTGCATTTGTCTGCTGAGGCAGCGGTTGGTGATCAACCCCTAGAAGTGGCAGAGGTTTTTCTGATCAATACAGCTCTGGGATTTACTTTTAGTCCCGTTTGAGCTTAGATATTTTTACAGCTGTCGCATAAAGCCTTTTATCAAAAAAAAAAAAAAGATAAACCGCCCTAACTGATAAGTAAATAAAAATAATAGAATTAAAATTTGACAGCAGTGTTCTGTGGCAAATATAGACAGTACCTCAGTTCCTCATCACTTACATTTGATAACCATGTAACCTGACTTGAAGTAAATATTTGAAATTTTTCCTGCCCAGGTTGCAACAGTTGATGACGATTTATCATCTGATGACTCTGAAGCAAATAAAAGAAGGGAGATTCTAGCAAGACGACCATCGTACAGGTAATTACTTTTGAAATTAATGTGGAAAGTACAGGCAGCCTTTTATGGTCTTTTTAATCCACTGACTACTGAGCCTTTTAACCTTTGCACTTTCCCAGATGCTACACATTTTAGTGTGTACTAAAAAAAGCCACAGCATCGTAAATATTTAACATACACTTATCATATTTTGTATTTTTGCTCCAAATTGAATGGAGAACACAGTCAAAGAAAATCTCGCCTCATCATCATGTGCCTGTAGATTGGTACAAATCTGACAATATAAATAAAAATACCATAACTTCACAACCATTCTACATACACTTAGAAAGTTTTTTTGCACCAAATTATGTGGAGAATATATTGCAAGAAACAGAAATGGGTTTATTTTATTTGATATCATCATCGTGTGCTGTAGGTGTAATCAAATATTTTTGGCGGAATCTATCGTCGCCTGGAGATCCCCTATATCCTTCCAAATAACTTACCGGGCTCGAATTAACTAAGTCTAGGGGAATTATAACGGTCCCTGAGTTCTGGAAAATAAAGGAAGGAAAATACAGAAAGTTAAATGAATAGGGTGAATCCCCGGAAATTTCCTAAAGAAATTCAGAAACAAGCAAAGTCAATACTTTATAAATTTAACTCAAATAAATTGCAATGAACAATCTTTAGTCTACCTAAGAAGTAAATTTGATACGATGAAATCGATAAATGGAGTTTCTAAACAACAACTGTATTGATAAATACTGATATGGAATTCAACGATTTTCAAATTAACAAACAAAAGAAAAATTACTGAATCATCATTACACCACACAATGTTCAATGAACAATCTTTCACTCAGCTTTAGGCAAGTCTTGATGAGCTGAAATGTAGTTTCCTTTGGAGGAATGTCCACGGATAAACCGGCAATCAGGAATACGGTTCACGGTCCTCTGGTAAACAGGCAAGCAGGAACACGGGAACCTGAAATCGTATGGTATTATTTTTATTGTTTCTGGGTGTTAGGCCGATGGTATGGCTGGCAATCGTTGAATAGCGTGACGAATCTAGCTCTCAGAGTTTCTCCTAGTAACATCACAAAACGTCATAAATTATGTGCGCCTTCGTACCCTTTTATTCTTTTCGCGTCTATGTTTAACTATATTTATTTTACGTGCGCAATTCTTTTAACTAAAACTTGCAATTAACTCTTGCCGGACTGAAATATTCCTTTGTTTTGTCACAGTAGGTAAGGTGAAAAAGGCAACTGAAAATCTTATATCTGACATCAATACAGACTAATAAAAAATGCCATAACTTCACAACCCTTCATCATACACTTATCACTTTTTTTTTACACCAAATTAAGTGGAGAACAAATTGCAAGGACATCTTCATTGTTTTCAGGCTGACACTTTTCAAAATCTACAGGCTCTGAATAAATATTTTCACTATAACTATCAGTATCGCAGACTACTGCACTAGTGTTTCCTACAGAAGGTTTACCTACCGGTCAATCTTAGACTCGACTTTGAAGCGACATGCCAATGTTTTAATGTCGTTGATGTTTTTTTATGGCACTTCGATAAATTTATCAAAACCAGAGTCATCAAACTGTTCAATATTATCTTCACTTTCACTTTCCAAAGGAAATCGAATCAAGAAAATCAGCGCAGCAGCAAAAAAATGAAAAAAAATTATCAGCCCAATCGCTTCGAAAATTCCACGCTAACATCACAAAGGGTGCAACGCTGGCAGAAAAAAGTAAATGTCGCCTCCCCGTATAACCTGCGACATGGGCAGTCATTAGGTTAAATCTTTTTTGTGTGCTGTTAATGAGAATATTGCGTCTCCAGGATTGTGATAAAGTGGTAGCCTTTGCTATGTGCTAGGATGATTGTGGTTTATGTGTGGTTTCTTTAGTTTGTAAGTGTTGGATCCGTGGGAGGTTGTTACCGGAATTGTTTGCTTTGTGCAGTGCAGTCAAACTTTTGCTGTGGGTAATACATAATTCAGTGAAGTTAATCCTCAGCTTTATATACTTTTAAAAATCTGTTCAGTGCTGCTAGACTTTGAATGCTACCTCTCAAAAAATATTTATACATGATGTTGTTTTGTGCATTGCTAGTTATTCTCACTACTGTTATAGATCTGCTGAAGATTACAAACACTCAGGTATTGGAAAGAGCAGGCATCACAATGGTTTGCTTGCTAAGTGCTCAGTCTTCTAAGATTTCGATAGCCACAACACACATGGCGGATAGTAGTCTTTTATAATATTCAGATGGGTAGAATGTGTCAGCTTTGGCCTCTTCTGCGATTTAAAATTGTATGCAAATGGGAATGAATGATTCAGCTATTTAGATGGAATCATAGGAAGGGAAATTGGCCACATTGTTGCATGGAGGGGTACAGATTAGGAAGGTAATAATAAAAGGCAGAAAATGATACAGGTTAGGAGCTACTTGTGTGGATTCTGGAGCCCCATAATGGGGAAAACAAGAATAGACCCACTGCATCCCCAGAAAGCATGTCGTAAGAGTTGACTAATAGGGTGCTTCCTTCTCAATCGGGGTGCATCTGCCCGAGAGGCAAAGAACAACCACTCTGCATACAAAAAAAAAAAGTCACATCTGTAAAATAGATGTGCATGCAACAGTCAGGTTCTGGAACAAGACTAAAGTCCAGAGGTGGACAAACAACCATAAATTGCAGCCAGAGTTTATACAGCTGGTGAATGCTAAGAAGAAGAAGAAGAATTTGTTTTGTAGTTTATAATTTTTCTTCCACTGAGTCAGAGACAAAAATGTTTGTAATACCACATTTGTGTTTATTTTGTTGGTTGTTTTTGGTAGAAGAATTTAATTTCAGTGTCACAGAAAATGTCTAAACATGGCCAGAACTTTGTATTTTATTTCACCAGAAAAATTTTGAATGATCTCTCATCTCCTGGGTCAAAAATGGATGACGATTCAAACAGCAGTCAGAGCCAAGATGGCCAGGATTCCTGTAAGTCAAATAAATTATCACTGTTTAGTCTTCTTCTTGTGGTTCATGCAGTATGTTGTTGATAGTCATGTCAGTCTTTTCACAACCTTTTGTCTCATATACTATCGTTTCTGACACGTATGAAACAGGGCTCCATATTGCCCAGCATTTTGTCTCTTAGTCTTCCCCGCCTCTGTTTCCCTCCATATTCTGACAGTCATGGATGTGCCTCCCTGTCTGAGAGTGTGACCAAAGAATGTAGATTGTTTCTGATGCAGGTAGTCAGTTCTTTTGGTGGATTAATTTCTTTTAAGACATCTTAATTAAACTTTTTATTTTCCCATGGTGTTCCATCAGGCGATCCCCATTTTCCAGCATTTGTTCCCTGAGTAAACTTACTTGAAAGGCCCTGTCTTAGGGCGACCTCTTGCTTTCTCATAAGATCTTTTCATGTGTAGTTTTGGTAGTTGTTGTGGATGCATTCAAATGAGACTACCAAACCATTTGATCTTTTGTGTCTAAATTAATTTGGAGCATGGTGTTGTTCCCAGTCTTGTCAGATATATCATTTCTCACTTTGTGGCTGCTAGTTAAGTTGGCGGTGTTCCTCGAGCATCTCATTTTATTTTACATAGGATAGCCTTTGATAATATACAAATTTGGCACTAGTAGCACAGTGTTGGTTTAAATATGCTGTTTATAATCTGCGTCTTGACCGTCATGTTTATGTGTGAATGTACCAGTAACGGCGTCAGTTTGTGTATAAGTGCACGTTCTTGTTAGCATCATGTTTCTATTTCCCGATATATTTTCCCTTCCTGGATATTTAAATTCTTGAACTTGCTTCAAACAAGTACCATTTAACCCTGTATGCAGTGGATTAGGGAACTCTGCTATTGCTGTTCATTAATCTGATAAATTAAAACTTTCTGAGAGCAAGTTGTCTCATGTGTCAGAAATATGTCCCATCCACTGTTATCAAGATACCTAATATTGACTTGCAGTCTCACTAAATGTATAGTTCTGCTTGTCAGTATAATAACAGTTGATACATACAAAACATGCTCATATGTCATGTAGTCATCGCTGTACCTTTAAGCACTTGCTGGGACATGCCTGCAAGGTTTTCATGGTCGGCTGCTTGTGTAAGTTATTAAAGCATGTAGTTTTCTCCCGTGTTCTTTTAACAAGGAATCAGTTTTTTAAAAGTTGAAAATGGTAGAACAAATACACCAGCTGTCCACCATGCAGTGTGTACTTCGGTGCGTTGTGTTAGTTGCTATCAACACATTGTGTGTTCAATTGCAGTGGTGTTAGCGTGTACTGTTACTGAAACATGTACACCAGCTGTCCAGCATGCTGTTTGTACTTCGGTGCTTTTTATTGGTTGCTGTCAACACATTGTGTGCTCAGTTGCAGTGATGTTCGTGTGTACTGTTACTTGAACATGTATACCAGTTATCCAGCATGCTGTTTGTACTTCGGTGCGGTGTGTTAGTTGCCGTCAACACATTGTGTGCTCAGTTGCAGTGATGTTCGTGTGTACTGTTACTGGAACATGTATACCAGTTATCCAACATGCTGTTTGTACTTCGGTGCGGTGTGTTAGTTGCCGTCAACACATTGTGTGCTCAGTTGCAGTGATGTTCGTGTGTACTGTTACTGGAACATGTTCACCAGTTATCCAGCATGCTGTGTGCTCGCTTGCAGTGGTGTTAGTGTGTACTGTTACTGGAACATGTACACCAGCTATCCAGCATGCTGTGCGTTAGTTGCCGTCAGCACATTGTGTGCTCAGTTGCAGTAATGTTAGTGTGTACTGTTACTGAGCAACTGCTTAAGGTAAGAAAGAAGATGAATTTCACTTTGCCAGTTGGGTCAGTAATTGTCACTTAAATATGAAATTTATTTATAGAGTATTAAGCTGGTGTTGTTTCCAGCACACTAAGAAGGAAAACAAACCTGCAACAATTGTAGAACTATTAGTCTTATCACCCACGCAAGCAAAATTCAGCATTGCGGTCAAGGTCAATATTTACAAATCACTGGTATTGTCTATTTTCTTATACGGGGGTGAGAGTTGGACTCTCACTGTGGAAATGGAAAGGAGAATTCAGGCTTTCGAATGTAAATGCTATAGACACATTTTACAAATTATTTATTTAGAACACATAACTAATAAACACGTCGGAGACAAAATATACAAATTTGCGTGACATCAGGAGTCTCTCTTGGCAGCAGTGAAACGTTCCAAGCTAGCTTGGTTTAGGCACGTGGTAAGGCGTGATTTACTTGCAAAGACTATACTTCAGTAAACACGGGGGGGGGGGGGGGGGGGGGGGGGGGGGGGGGGGGGGGGGGGGGGGGTAGCCGAAGAAGAGAAGGGCAAAGAAGAACCTGGAGTGACAACACCAAGAAATGGACAGGACTATGTTATCATACACTTATTCATCAAGCAGAAGACAGAAAACTGCATAACTGGAATTTTTTCATTTTCTCCACCAAGAAATCTAATATGGATTTGGGAAATCTTGCTGTCCAAGAAGTGGCAAAGGGACGTGTGATTACTTAAAGATCTATTTAGATTAACACTTTTAAATTCAAATGCCATATACATATTTTTGCATCTGGATGGGATAGTTTTTTTTTTTTTTAGAGATTCCCAGAAAGAAAAATTTTCACATACACTTGTTCAGTTGTTTATCAAGAGGACTATAGCTTCCTTTCCCTAGAGACTGGCAGACTATAGATTTAACAGCTAAAGGGACTTTTTTAAAGATACCTTTGTCCTATGTTTAGGACAGACTTTCACAAGAGTTCTGGAAGCATTAGAATGCTTGTGTCTATTCCTGCAGCCCGTGGGTAGATAACAAAACCAAAAAAAGACATTCGTAACTGAATATTTTCAATAAAAAGAGCATTAATATCTCCTCACTAGATGTGCAGGCTAACACACTGCAACTGACAGCACACAGTGATGCTTCACAAGCCACACAGGGTCTTCAGACACTAACAATGACCAATGCGAGTCCTACATCTGCTTCTAATTCTACAGGTGGGACTACTATTGTACAGTACGCCCAAGGTCCAGATGGTCAGTTTTATATTCCAGGTAATACCTTGTCCAGGTACAGTAGACAGCTGTGTTTGTCATTTATGATTTTGCAGCGATCGGGATATTTAGCGATACCACAAATAATTGCATGCTGTTTATGTTTTCATTTTTCCAGTTACCAGAAACATATTTGTTATATTTAGAGATATAACTGTTTCCCTTTTTCTTCTTCATGTTCTGCGTCCCCCCCCCCCCCCCCCCCCCCCCCCCCCCCCCCCCCCCCCGTGGAGCAAAGACCCTCAGGCGACTCAAGCCAGGTTTTTCTATCCTTTGCTGTCGCATGCAGTTTTAACTTCACTCTAGCTCCCTTCTCCGTGTGTTTTGTTTTGGTCTGTCTATATTTCTATGCCCTGGTGGGTTCCAGTGCAAAGATGTTCTAGTTATATTGTCAGGTTTTTTCACGGTGTGTCCTATCCAACACCAGCTCTTTTCTTCACCTCTTGGTCCACTTGAATTTTCGTGATAAACCAGTCGCTTTAACTATAATTAGTATTTTGGTTTTCCAGATATTGTCGGCATAATAAAATATGAATTCCTCTCAGATTGTTATAGGACTATATTTTTTTTGCATCATTGTCATTTTTTTCACCCAAATCCAACTTTGTGGCTCAAACATTGACTTAATGTAAGCTTATAGCCCATAGCATCCGCTTTATAATGCATGCCAAATGTTTCCTCCGACATTACCTTAAATTTTCTTCATGTTTTTGGTTTTCTTAATAAATCTCATTGTATTTTCTTCTTTTTTTTTCTTCCTTCCCAAAATGTTTATTTTGGGTGTAGTGCCTGTAAAAGTACATATATCTTTGGTCTGGTGACCATTTATGATCACTTAAATTTATTGTAGTGATGGTTCTGAATTGCTTATAGCGCAGAATGTTATTTTTTTTTTCTGTGCAGTGTGTATGGCTAGTATATTTGTAAAAAAAAAAAATATGTGTGTTTATTAGAAATAACATTTTTTACATATAGAATTTTGGGGCCATATCATATTACTGCAAGGAACACAGAACTTTATAAGATGAAGATTAATTAGCCTGACTCGCTAGCGTAGTCGGTCAAACCTGACTTCGCGTGACCCAGTGACGAACTCTGTGTGGTCCCGGTTCACGCCTGGGGGTTGACAGAAAAGCCACATTTCTCCCATATTTACAGTATCCATCATGGAATCAAGGTCGAAGGGTTGCGATATCCATATTACCGAGCCAAAGGGTTAACAACTCATGGTTTCTGGATATTTAAAAAAAATAAGATGATACTCATTTGATTATGTTAAGCACCCTTTTGATTCCTTTTTTAGTTCATTGATCATATAGTGCTAGACTCATATTTTCTAGATTTGATTCAAAGTAAATACGACTAAAACTGAAGTCATGCAGGTCAGTGGTCAGCTACATGCAGGGTTGAATGGTACTTGTCTGAAGGAAGATAAAGAACTCAAATATCTAGAAAGTGTATTCTTGTAGGACAGTAGAATAGATCTGGAAATGGAAGCAGTATGCCATTGAGCCAGTGTACACCATTATTAAGACATCCAAACATAAGTATGAGAGCCAAGGCACAGATTCTGCGACGTCCTGTAAAGGATACGCTACTGACTGTAGTACATAAGATATAGATATTTAGATTTTTTCTAGGAATTTTGATGTTTGCATAAACGCTTGGAGTAAATAAAATATATGATGCACTAAAGGGATGAGTAAACATACGTTTGAGATTCAGGTGATGAATATCTTATTAAAAGTTAAGAGTCTGCAAAAACTGAATGAATAGCCACAGTGTATTGTTGCTTAGTAAACTCTTGCTCTACTTGTTATAGTTATGCATCCTTCATTGACTTCTCAGTTCTGAACTTGGCCAGCTAGATTTTCTGTGTCTTGTTCCATGTCTATTGTTGACAGCTCAATGCTTGGCCATCTCTAGATTATTCATTTCAAGTTTGGGGTATAGTTGTTAGTGGCCCATCAAGAATCTGGGCTCAAATGGCTAGACTCTGTTACACTTGGGTATGCTGAGTTTGGATGTAAGATTGTCACATACTATTTGGTTATTAACCTGTTTGCTTCACCTGATGCGTTCATGTCTCATTTTTGAGATCTGCATCTAACTTCAAGCTGTTATCATTGGAGTCCAGGCACATTAAAGTATAATCGGATATTAATGTGAAACATCTTAAGCATAGCTACGTGCATGAGATTGGCGGTAGGAAAATGTATGATTGAACAACAGAGTTTTAGTATAATGTATTAAAGTTATTCTAAGCTATGTGTTATTTTATTATCTTAGTTGGAGGAACGAATGTTCAAGCATATCAGATTGCAGCACCTGGATCTTTAACTCAAGGAGTTGTCATGGCGTCTGGTAGCCCCATTTCAAGTCCGCAGCACATATCAGAAGAAGGTTCTAGGAAAAGGGAATTACGTTTGTTAAAAAATAGGTAAACCTTATGTGTGTTAACATCAATGGCTGTTGTCAGAACTTAATTAGGTATAACTTGAGAGGTAAATTCACAGGTATTGTTTGAGTCATACCCATGTAGACTCTAGGGCCCCATTTTAGGGTTTAAACAAATGGATAGGCCCCTTGCCCCTTACAGAGCATGTTATTACAGTTTTTCTGGAATTGAATGTGTTTGGTTCAAAGGTGAAGATCTTGCAGCCTAACTATAAACCACAGTACGAGATGCCAATTGCCCCTCTTGGTGAATGCAGAAGGAGAAGAAGAATTATAGTTGTAGAAATTGAGATAAGAGGACACACTTATAAAACGTACAGCATTTGAAAGCTACAGTGGCCACACAAGGATTCAGACTTGCCAGATCCAAATGGTCAAAGGAACAAATATACTTCAGCATTTAATTGTTTAAAATCAAGAGGATCTGTTACATTTCATTGAGTTTTATCCCATTTGACATGGTCTTTCTCCACGGAGCGAGCCTCTAGAAATTTCCATAAGAATTGCACTGGCGAATTAAATGTTGAAGCCAATGAAACAATCACACGAAGCCAACAACCTTTAGAATGTGAAGCTTAACCACTAAGACATAGAGAATTCCTCATATTCTGCAAAACACAGCTAGTCTCACCTTGCCATGTACAGCATAATTATGATGAACTTTCAGTTCTTTTAACTCTATCACCCCAATAAGACTAAATCTATGTACTCCTAATCGTGATACAGCCCTGTTAATGTAGATGTATTGCCTTTTCTGTAGTGATCTTTTCTTGAAAAGCATAGTATTTTTGGAAAAGGGGAGGGGTGGTGTAGTGCATAGTGTTCAGGAGATCTGGGTGTGAATATGTTAACTAAATTTAGCATTTAGAGGGGTTTCCTTTTGAATCCAGTCTGATTACTTTTACCTGTGAGCCTCAGTAATAGAGGTGACAGGTCATAGTACATAAGATACATCTTTGCTTCAGGCCCCAAATAATGCATTTCATTTAATGCTTGGCTCTGTTCTTATTCATTGATTACTCTCTTTATATATCTGTATATATTTCAAAACAGACAGTTATAAATGTACATACATTCATTTCAAAACGATGTATTAGTTACCTATGAAAAATAGTTTTTTTTTTTTAATTCACATGGTTTTATGGCCCATGTTTGTTGGCATTCACAGGCGAAGGAGTTGAGACTTGCAATGCCTTTTCCTTTTTTAGCACCTTTGTGTATATCACTTGAAGTAAACATTTAAAGGACGTTTTTTCATGCCAGAGGCTCATTTGTCATTTGATGCTAGACCCAAATTTTGTGTAGATCATCTGGTAATCAAAAATGATGTGGTCAACAACATGCCGGCCGCCGTTACTTTCCAGGACATTTTCCTGGTACCAGATTGAGGCTGGGCTGACATAAAAACCAAGGTCAATTATATACAACTTATCTGGATGCAGATTCGAGCTATATACCAGCAGGCATCTGTCTAGTTGCTGTGCTACGTTGGCTTCCATTAAAAACCCCTACGACATGTAAAATACATCCAGAACAATATATTGCCTGCCTGCTGAGTGTTTTTTAAATATTTGTATTTGTGTGGAATAAAAGTGACCCTTTTCACTTTGGTGGTCGGTGATTCATATGATGCTAGATTCATATTTGGTATAGACTAGTGCTCACTTAGTAAATGATGTATTGAACACACCATTTGCTTTTACTTCCCACCACCACATGACCAAATCCGCCCACACAGATCTGAATCTGAGACCTTAAGGCGAGTATCTGTCCAGTCATTATGCTCCCCCAACCAACAATCTAGATTTTTCACTGCTGTTAAAAAAATCTCTGTGCATTGCGGACAGTTTGGAGACTTGTCTATAGTTTTTTTTAATTCATTTTTAAACAGCCTTGGTTTGTGTTTTGCAAAATTAAAAAAAAATATATTAAACAATTTGCACTACTTGGTCAGGAAATTTACCTTAAAGTATGCCTAATTTTGTTGTTGAAAATGTTAGCGTGTGAAATCGGCACAACCTGATCATTTTACTGTTTTATTCCACAGAGAGGCAGCCAGGGAATGTAGAAGGAAGAAAAAGGAATATGTTAAATGTTTGGAAAATAGAGTAGCAGTTTTGGAAAACCAGAACAAGACATTAATTGAGGAACTGAAAGCTTTAAAAGAACTCTACTGTCAGAAAGATGCATGACTGTGAGCATGGCTGTTTGATTGCCACACCTGCAAGTGAACACGTTTCTTATGGCAGACTCCTGCTTTGTCCCGGAGCATGATAAACCACAGCCGTGACACACTGTGAAGCTATATCCTTTGGATGCTTGGTTCCACACCAGCGCCATTTCTCCAAAGGGGTCCTTTCAGCATGGACAGATCCTGAGAAATTGTTGTTTTGTAAGAAGCATTTGCATGTTATTGATGGAAAGGATAATGGCTTTGACGAGTCGGTGTTTCCCCCCATGTTGCTTATTTTAAATATATGTAAACTGTTGTTGTACAGATGACTGTTTTGTCTTGGACACTTGAAACCCAGAACTGATTGTAAGATAACTTGACTAGGCTGTGATCAAATTGTGTCTTTATCTGTTCTCAGTTTTCTCTCAGTAATTGTTCTTTAATGTATCTCTTGTTTCTAATTTCCCATGTAAAACTACTGAGCCACCACATACAAAACCATAGCAGATATAGATAGTTCAATTTCTATTTTAAAAATAATGATGGATTAATATGCTATAAAACATTTCTGAAGCAAAAAAAAAAAAGCCTGTATTAAATGGTAAAGCAGGCGGAATGTCTCATCTTGAACATTAACAGCAAGTTGCCTTACAGATGTATAATGATATTTAACACTATTACAGCAGTTTTCTTTATGGTTAAAAATAGCTTTTTTTTTTGTTTGTTTTATTATTCTGGCTTATAGTGTAAACATTCTATATCAGCAGTTGTATATTCTTGCATGGCTCAAGTGTGAAGGCTGCTAACTTGCACTTATATCAACCTGTGAAGGTTTGAAGGTGGCCATCGGCCTTTGAAAGTTTGCTGCCAGTCTGTAGAAACCACATGTTTGCCTCATTTGTGAAAATGCAGACTTCATGTTCTTTAAAAAGAGTACTTGGGCTACTTACTGTGTATTGTGTAAATATTCTGTGACAGTTGATTATGTCACTGGAAACCTTTCTATCAAATTCTTATTGTCCGCTCACTTTGTCATAAGTCTGTTGCAGTTTTGTCAAAGGGTATTCATAATTCCATAGCTCTTTAGGTGTGTGACATGACCTTATGTGGTATAAATTTTTTTCCAATTCAGTATTCTGTCTTATATGCATAAAAATAGAAATTTTTAAAATCAGTATTAGTATGGGTTGGTTTTTTTTTTTTTAACTCATAGCATTACCTTACTATATTACTTGTCATTTAGATAGAATTGCATTAGTTTAGTTAACTACCCTTGTGGATTTCAGGGTGCTGTTTTGGGGGGAAAATAATTGACCCACTTGCCCCTGAACAAGTATGTTGTAAAAGGCGACTTTAAGCATTTTGTTAAATTCAGATGTGTTGGACCCAGTGGTGTAGTTATCACAGCTTAGCTGTAAGTTACAACAAAATGTGCCAGCCACCTATTTTCAGTAATAGTAGTTTTATTAGCTTTTGCTCTTTTGTTTTTGTTTTTTAGGTGTATCAAACAAGTCATGTTATTCAAGGTTTTATTGGCTGCCACTGTGTTCTTCTGGTATTGTTTAACCTCTTTCTTCATTGAACTGTTTTTCTTTGGCACTGCTGTTTTATGGGAATAACCTGATTCCCCCTCCTCGCCCCCCTTTTTTTTATTGTTGTGTGTGGACATGGTGGCTATCTAAAGCCTTCTGTTTCATGTACTGCTAATAATTTCTGATCCGGTTGTTCTTTCAAAATGCTAAACTGTTGATAATTCCCTCTCATGGTCTCCTCGTGTATCTTCCCCCCTCCAGCTTTCCGGTTATTAGGATGTACTAGATTTTCTCTATGATTATAGCCTGCCTAACAATTGTAAACTTGGCACTTTATGTGCGTACGTATTTCTTTTGCTGTAACTTCATTTCTTTCACGTCTTCATTACGCACAACCTAATCGTAGATTCTTCAACTCTCATTATTCTTAAAGTCTGATCCTGATTTTGCAAGGTGAGAACCCAGTTAGAGATGCATTTACATTTATACTTTAGGGGGAAAGCTCACATTTAGTTGCTTCAGCTGTTTTGCTTCAAAAAGATAATCTGACTATAGATATCCAAGCTATCATTTCTCAAGTTGCTGTCTCAGTTAGAGATTGTTTAGTTGTTATTCTAACCTTGTGTAGTTTTTAACATGTTTGCAAATCTGCACTTCAGATTTTTTAGTCTGAAATGTCAAAATTCAACTCACTAATAAGCATCAGTGTTATTTTTGTATCAAGTTTCAGTACGTGTCAGAGTAAAATTAGTGTCTGGTACATTCAACATTAGTTGTCATATTGACAAACATTATAAGTGTATTTGATGTCACCTAATGTTGTACTTTGTTGCCATTTGTAAACCTCGCACCACTTTGATTGTGAAACACTTAATTGCAGATTTGCAGAAATCAGAATGTTGATCACTTTTGACACTGCGAGATTATGAATTTCAAAGACCTCTTTGTGTGCCTTGAAGCAATTGAGTTCTTGCATAGTTGAGTGGAGAAAAGTCAAGGTTTTATATTTTTATAATTGCTTTTCCTCTTATATGTAGAAGTTGTATTAGGATGTTGCATCATCCTTTTCATGGCTTGATTAAGAGGCTGGCAATTTCTACAGGCAAAAGTGGCTTGACCCTGCAAGCATCAAGAATTCTTTGGGGAAAGACTTTAAATATGACAAAGTGTGATAAACAGTGATGGAAAGAGATAATGAGATATATATCTAAATGGTTTAACCAAATGTGTGGGGGCAACACAAGAACACTGACCTGATCCTTGATTCTGGGAATTTTATGAAATAGCAAAACAGGGCAGCCTATGCTTATCAGCAGTGTACATATGATGATAGTAATACTGATTATCACTCATAGGTGTGGTAGAAAAAAGTAGAGATTGGACATATTGGCCATCATAAATAACATCATAATCTGTAGTTAGCTATTGCAGGAATCAACCTGACACCTCCAGGCAATGCCCCACTGCAGGAATGTACAAGAGGTGACAGGGTTGATTAACATAAAGCCACATTACTTTTTTTAAATGTGAGCTTCTATCTAGTCTCATGAGGCACATGTCCCATTTTTAGGATGATCTTATTATCTGGAGCCGAAAATGAGATATCCCTCTGATATTTTGAAATTAAAACGAGACACCCCCAGCATCTTGAAATGAAAACGTGTCATCCCAAGCAAGTCTCTTTAAACCACCACCCCGTCCCCCCCCCCCCCTTTTTTTTATATCACTGAGATGGGAAGGATAATGGCGGACTTAACAAATGGAACCTTTTGGAGTTTTGGTGCCAAGAAGACAGAGCTTTCAGGAGGGGATTCTCTTAGTTTATACACACAAAATTATAAAAAAAATAAAGCAAAAAATTTAACATTTTCAAAACTAAAGATATATATTGGGGTAGGAAATTGAATGAACTAATAGAATGTTTATGAATCAAACTGAAATCTCAACATTTATTCTGATTTGCATAATTTGTGCAAGCAATTTTTTTTTAAAGTTTGGGAACATACATAACTAACCTGACAACCTGGGTGAATTTTTGTATGGATGAAGCTTGAATGAGTCCTAACACCTGTATTTTGGGAAGTAAGACCCTTTGAGGCCTTTCAGACACGTCTGGCACATGGTTCTACTCATTTTCCTGCCTCCAGCTATGTTTCAGTTGCTATGACACAACAGTCCTTTTCGTAATTTTTTTTAGCACAGGTAACCACAGAAAAAAATTTTTATAATTTCAGAATAAATCAAACTTGCCCGAAAGCCGTCAATGAACAGCCTACATGTGCATGAAATGCAAGAAGCAGTCTGATTGGCTGGTGTGAAAATCTGCCAGCCAATATCAAGGCTTCTATTATTATATAAGGCCAACGGATCGGCCCAGTTGTTTTTTTGGCTACTTTGTGTTGGGCTGATATTTCAGCTGCATCGTCTCCAAAGGGTTAAGGAGAAAGAAATATGTTTTTTAACTGAAAAAAAAATGCCAAATAAAAATTCCCATGAATACATTTCAGACATTAAAAGTGTCTAAAATCAAAGTCCAATAAGTGCTGATATATGTGTATGTTCTGTTCTTGAGCTGATTCCTAGATTTGTTTCTCAAAATGGACAATTGATGCTATTTTTAAGTGCCAACGGCACGGCTGGGACTCACCTAAAAATTGGACTGTGCCGGTGAAATTGGGATGTATGTCATTAAGGGTGTACCTGATACATGATGATTGAGTACAATTGTTTTTTTTTCTTCTCAGACAAATCTGTTAGACTTGCTGCCTTGTCGTGCTCTTAGCATATGTTGCCTTGACTAGAACATGGACCTGCCTGTTTTTAATTTGTGTATATGTTTGTTTTTCTCACTGAAATCTCAGCTCATAGCCACTGTTCATGGTTTCACATGTACGCTAGACACCTCTGTATTGTTAGTAACATTTAATTAATCTATAACAAACTTATTTTTAGGGTATGACTATCACTTTATATTAATTGTCCAACTATGGTACTTACCAGTTTTTTTTAATTGTGTACACTGTAAGCACATCTATTGTACATGTTGACTTGCAGCCCCTGCTAGTTATCTTGTGTTTTGTGTGTGTGTGTGTGCCTAGCTGATCAGATCTTTTGTGATTTCACGGAAAACAGGAAAATGGGTGAGCCAGAAGCTGTGTTGATCACAACTGCTGAAAATAAAGATAACTTCTCATTTTGTAGCTTTCAGTACATTAATTTTTTTTTTAAAAAGTTGTGTCTACTGTTTCGCGACTGTTGTATGGTATTTTTTGCCCATGCGCCAGTACAAAGTCAAGCATGATATTGCAGTTTTAATGGTTGTTTAGAGGTGATGGGGTCAACTTCATTAGCCCCATATTGCTTGGTCTCTCTTTCTGCAGAGTGGCTGGTTACCCACATGTGTGTTGCACAAACTACAAACTTTGTAAATTTGATTTCAAAGGATTTCCTCAACATCTCCACTTGTGGACCGAAGGATGGAATCTGA